AAAAAAATGAATCAAAGATCAAACCCCTAAATCAAAAATTCCTGGATCCAACTCTGCCTCTCTGCATTCAGACATGCTGACGACACACATAACGTTATGACCTTCCGGAAGATTTTAATTAATTCGGGATCAAGTGAAACGACTCGGTCACAAGTCGGGCTTATGTCCGAGTGCGCAGCGTTAATGAAGCTTACAGCTCCACTTGAGTAATTCAAGTTGACTGAATTTAAAGAAAAAAAAATGCTGGTAGCTAACTTCCTTTCACATTTGAGTAAAGAGTGGATGTCTAAGGAGTTCCGTAGCAGGCGGTCTCTCGTCTAGCTTTGATTCAAAACACCTCAGGAGCACATCTCGAAGAGCTGGGTTAAGGCTCTCTGGTATGTCGGGTGGGGACTCGGCCATTGCGATCTGAGAAAAAAAAAGACAATGATGATCAAGGTATGTCCCAAAAAACACACAAGGGAAGACGCGAATGACCAAGACGCGATTGTTTTCACTTTTGCATCTGATTGGTTGACAGGATGGCGCGAGTTTTCTTGATCAATCATAGCGCGTAGCAAAGCCAAAACATGCAATCCCGAATTAAATTCGACTCTCATTTGAAAATTGCTCTAAGACAAACGAGCAAGCTAAGATAAAGGCATAACTTCATAGCAATGGATAACAACGTTACAAAAGGGTGTTTCAGATGCGCATGTGTAGTTGACTTGAAACTACATAGTTCTGTATGACGTCGTCCTACCTTAAAGATAAGAGCCAAGTGATTTGAATGTTCATGTGCGTTCCATGGCGGTTTTCCAGTAACCATTTCTATGACAACACATCCCACACTCCACACATCACAGCTTCGTCCATAGCTCTCTCCACGTAGGACCTTGAAGGAAGACAACAGGTAAACAATTCAGAATTATAATCTACCCTTGGTAAATAATTCAAAATTACGATCTTCCGTAAAGCAAATCGGAAACTAAGGCAAATACGTCATTAAAGCGCTGACGGTAGCCAGAAGTTGAGAGTTTTTTCTCCCAAGAGTTTGTTACACTTAAGTTCCCTAACATTCGTCGCTATGACGAAGGACTAACGCTCAAAAAGTCAACTTATGAAACTCTATACGGCGGCATATTTATAGAATCAACTAAGTTGATAAAACTAAGATGATCTTGTAAAAAACCCCACCGACGCAGCACCACAGTTTCTTTTAAGACTTACCCATTTATTACCTATTACCAAAGCTGAACAACTTCAATCAAGTTTGCCGAACACACATACCTCAGGAGCCATAAATGCGACTGTTCCAAGCAACTGGCCTTGAAATTCGCCAGCTCCTGTTAACTGTGTTGCTAATCTTGCCGCAGCACCAAAGTCCGCTATTCTAATGTTCTTGCCTGTTGAATCCACTAAGATGTTTGCTCCTATGTCACCAAAAAAAATCATAACAGTTCATGAGACACGAGAACTGTAAGATAAGTATACAAGTTAACAGCAAAAAATCTGGCAAAGATAACGTCTAACTTCTCGTTCTGTGAAAAAGTACTAAAAACCTTTCTGTAGCAGCCTCCCGAGGGCAGAGGTGTTAACTTCCAGTAGCTTGAAAAGAAGCATCGCCTATGAACGATTTTTCACCGTGTGTCGGTTCTAATCTTACACAGAAGTGATTAACCTGTAACTTCTCCCTATGAGATTCATACATTATCCAACAAACGGGTAATGAGAATACTCAGAGTTATTGGGTAAAAGTTATGTTGATCTAACAACAAACTCTTACAACTAATTGACAGGGAAATGTGTAGCAGTTAGAAGGGAGAATTAACAAGCCGATCTTGGGAGTTTAAGGGTTAAGCAATCACAGCTGTTGTTCTGATTGGCCTCGGTTATTTCCATGGTTTTGATGAGGTCATCATTAGTTTGATCCTGTTCAATTACCTTTAATATCTCTGTGAATGACTTGATTTTGATGCAAGTATCCCACTCCCTGAAGAATCTGCCTCGTATAACTGATCACAATCTTCTCATCAAACGGCCCATACTTTTTGAGAAGGTTTGTGATTGATCCACCTACAAGAAAACACGGCAAGAGGAAAGAGGTCAGAGAGTAGTGCAACGCCCATCAGTTGTCCAGGTCCAACAGACTTTCTTACCCAATACCCAGCCTGTGTCACTAGCGGTTTTCAGTGCGCTTTAAAGCGTCAGGCGACTAAGCGTAGACAGCGAGTGGCAAAGCCGCGAGAGGAGTGGGACGAAACGCAAACCATTCAATACCCTATATCGCCACTCCCCCCTCCCCCAATCATTGGAAAAGTCTATACAGCAGCCCAGTGACCCATATCACTGGAGTTTAACCTGGTTTCCATGAGATGAAGCTAAAAAACACTTTCCTTTCCTCATGGAGCAGCTGGCTGCATCCTTTCACTCGTGGGTTATCCCCATCTCTCCACATTTCGTAAAGTTTCCCTAACAATTTGCCGCTGACCATTTATACTCCTGGGTGGAGAGAGGCGCTGTGAAATCAGAGTGTTTTGCCCGTGAACACAATTCACTAATATAGCCTAGGATTAGAACCCTGGGCCCAGTTAAAGAGAAAATTATTCGAAAAAGGTTTTCGAATAATGTAATAAAAAACACCTGGGTTAAAATTTAACCCTGGGTTAGTGTTAATCGGTAAGTTCTGGGGAGAAGGGACAAAGCACTCTAACACAACGAGATTGTCACCTGACGCGGGGCTAAATGAAAATCAAAATAACAAAATTTACCAGCCATCCACTCCAGGAAGATGTTAAAGTGTCCAGCGTGTTTCGTTGCACCGAGGCATTTAATCAGATGTGGATGCTGTAGTCTTCCTAACAGAGAGATCTCATCCTCAATGGTCTGTGTAACCTTGGTCTGATCTTCCACTGAATTGCGGCAAAAGGAAACCTAGTGATAAAGGATTAAGCAAGTTTCAATTGAGCGTTGGGATTGCGTTACTTAATTTTGCTCTGTGATTGGTCCAGAAAACTCGCATCATCCTTTCAACCAATCAGATGCAAAACTACAACAATCGCTGCTCGGTCACCGGCCTTTTTCCCGGGCTTCAAGCGGTTTCCTTGTTTACACTCTGAGTTCTCATTGGCTAATGATGATGTAAACCTTTATTCTGGTTGGTCGCTGTGATTACGTTGGTTTTGGCTTTTCGACACTCGACTGAAAACTACTCTGAAGCAGAAGAATTGTATGGTTTTGAAGGAAAAGTTGCAGAGCTCACCAAATTTTCTTAACGAATTCCCAAGAAGATGAATGACAGCTACAAGGGAGAATGTTGACTTCAATCAAGAGATTAAAGTAAATGTACCTGTTTGACAGCCATAAGGGACCCATTCATAAGATCTCTGACAGCATAGCAAGATGAGTAGGCCCCAGTCCCTAACAGTTCTCCTTTCTTCCAATGAACTCCTTCCAGATAAAGGTGTTTAGAATTGACTGCCTTTTCCAGAGACTGCAAAACAGATGAGACAAAAGTGAAGTCTAAATCTTCAAAAGTAAATGTGACATCAACAATTTACTATAGGAAGAGAATCTCTTCCCAAATTAAAAAAATAGGTTGCGATTTCTTAAGTCGCACTTTTTCGTCTCTGATAGATCCCTACAAACGAAAGATAATAACGGATGAATCGAGCTGATATACCACTGAGGAGAAAGCTTCTCGCTTGCCACCTCTCGCATGTGGTTACCGTGATGGTCACAAACTTTTGCCGTTATGTTCATAATTTTTGCCGTGGCGAAAGCAAACCTTTTCTACACTAAATGAAACGACTTTCTATCAATTTCAAAATAAATTTTGTTCCCTAAAACTTACGAAAATAAACCAAAGTGGACGTTACATTAAAATTAATTATTTCAATCGTGCGATATTTTGCCGAGAAACATGTACTTGTGGGTAAACGTCCATCCGAGATTGTCTTGGATTGGTTTAACCAAGCTCTCTGATTGCTCTCGAAACATTTCCCTACCCTATCAACACACAGACTAAACTTCCTTCCAACCCTCAAAGTCACTTTTGTACTTTTTCTTTGAGTTATCATTTTTTACCTTAGAGCCCTCTTCAATTGAGCTTCGAAAAAAGTCCAGGATTGCATTGGGTTTGCAACACTTTGCTCTGTGATTGGTTCAGAAAACTGGCACCATCATCTCAACCAATCAGATGCAAAATTAAAGACAATCGCGACTTGGTCGCCCGCGTTTTCCCGCGTTTCAGGAAGTTTGCTCATTTTCACTTCGAGTTCTCATTGGCTAATGACTATGTAAACTTATGATTCTGATTGGTCGTTGGGATTAGTTTGGTTTTAGTTTTTCGAAACTCAATTGCTGCTATTTCATGTCAACCACCAATCTGATTGCTAAGAAGGTTTTGGTGTCATGACATTCAAATGAAAAGTGCTCAAAAGAGTACAATTTTAAGACTAACACACCTCTGGCTGAGTAAAAATGATGACCATCTCATCACCCGAATCCAAGCTTGGTATCCTGAAAGGCCCAGAGTCTAGAGAAGAGACAGCCATAGCTTTAGCCATAGCTTCTGCTTCTTCCTGTGCGATGATCTCCTGGCACTTCTTACCAACAGCCAGCTTCACTGGGGGCATTCTTGGGGAGTCCTCCAGAGATCTGGACCAATCAAGATTAACCTCCTCATTGGGGGAGAAGGTAAATGAAGGCGATAGACACAAGGACTGTGGTCTCTCGAAGTTGTCTACAATAGCCTGAAGAAGCTCTGACTCTGAAAAATTATCTGCCTCGTCATCGGACATGGCTGAAGGCAAGCTGCCGATGGCTGAGTCCCGGTTACTGGAGGTAGAAGACGGTGGATCCATACTTGTTTGCGATTCATAAGTAAAAACAGAATCACTGCGACTCACTGTAGTCACACTAGCCCTGGGAATCGCTTGAAGCTGACGATTAAGCGAACTGCGTTGAGAGGGCTTCAGTTTGGAAACCACTTTCTTAATGTGTTGTTGAGCTGAGGGTACACAATAAGATAATGACATACAACACGTAAGAACAGCGATGGCCAGTTTGCTGACTTTGCTATGGGAACAGTTTGCAGCTTGCATGGTAAACTTCAACACCGACATCAGGCGGCGGACGTTACTTTGATAAATTTCACTTGGGTCTTCACAAGCATTGTTCCCTCTGCCCTGAACAAGAACACCAGCTGTATCCATTTGAACAGAAACACAATCATCTGAAAGCTCAAACTCCGTGACATACTCCTCCATTAACTTTCGCAGAAACATCAGCCGCCCAAGCCACCACGGCCAAGTTGAATATTCAGCTGCAGTCCTTAGTATGCAGGATAAAATGAAGTTTAAACCTCCCAGAGGCTGAGGCACATGTTCAGCGCCGAGCATCTTGCCTAATGCCAAATCCCCATTCTCATCCTTGCAGAGTTCCAAAAGAACTTGGATTGACAATGCACTAATACGCCTGCAGTGATACAGAAACCCAAAATTTTAATGAATCAATCACTTAACTCCCCAAGATCTGATTGTTAATTCTCTTCTCTAACTGCTACACGTTTCCTTGTAGATTAGTTACAAGAATTTGGTGATAATCCCCAAGTAATATTCCCTTCTTTTCAAATCTTGCGTCCTCTACAAAAAAAATTGTTTCTTCAAAATTTTATTTGAGATTAATGAGCGAAACATTCGTTTGCTCGTAAAGTCGTACCAATGAACAGCTCACGCAGCGAATGCAATCATAATATTTAGAGGATACTGAACACAGTAACCTCCAGTTGACATGGAAATGTGTTCGGATATTTGTCCTTGGACATTATCTGTTCCACGAGGCTTACAGTTTGCGTTGAACTTCGCTATTGGAATAGATACCATGTAATGTCCGCTGAAAAAATATCTGAGCACATTTTCGCGCCAACTAAAGGTTGCTGTGTTCATTATCCTCAAAATGTTATATTGTTTACATATCAAGTGGGGATATTGATTGATTTTGCACCAAATTTTAAGAAAGCAAATCATACGGGATGTGTCGCGGAGAATTTTGAAATCTTACGTTCCCACCAAAAAAAATTACCTGTTGGAGTCCGCACACTTGGCTAAAACAGCTTCAATTACGTCAAACAAACATTTCTGAAGATGATGTTTCTCTTGCTG